TAGATGAACGTTTGGAGAATCCAAGAACAATAAATCTTTTCAGATTTGGTGAATTTCAGAAACAAGGCGGTTAGTATCTACCTTGCGCTTATGATCTTCCATTTCATCCCCGCAAATTCGGTAAAGTGAGGCAAGATGTTGGACGTGAATATCCATAAGACTAATAAAGTTGTTTTGGCCTTGAAAAGAAAAGGCAAAGGCTCGTACTAATGCGAAAAAAGTAATAACACGGCTCTGTGAGAAACCCGGGAGTTGAAAATGTACGTGTTTTGGACCTTGGAATTCAACAATTGTCTACCAAAATTCTAGGATATCTACCATCCCCACACTCAACATGATAAAAATTAATCGATATGACAATCGAGGAACATATCTACAACTTCGTAAAAAATCTGTGAATCGAAAAACAAATAGATAATTGTTCACCTACCTTGAAAACCGACCAAAAACTCGCCTACACATCGCGTTGTATGACTTGTATTTGACCTCCGCGGTTTTAGTTCTAACCGCCGAGGTCAAATATTCATCTCGCAAAATAGGGATTAAAACAGCACGGGAAGGCGAAAAAACCGATGACACATGACTCAGTTAACATTTTCTGCAACATTTTAACATTTTATTGCAAAATTTGCTTTAAATTCTGCATTTTGGAACAAATTATAGCCACCGTATTGTTCATATGTATTTCTTCCATAAATAAGTCAAAAACTGATCTTCTACACATTTCTGTTGGTTCAAAAGCCCCATCTGGAAGCCAGTTCAAGCACCAAAGACGGCAAATTGACGGCATCAGGCAGAGCTGAACAACGTCTGCGCATGTCCATCAAAGGTGTTGACGGCATCATTTAGAAGATGTCTGTTTTTAAAGGCTTTAAGTTGTGGTTCTTTTCAGAGTCAATTGCACTATTCCGACGCTCTCGAAGAGTAAAGCAGTGAGAGGAAAATATTGCATTCTTCTCCCAGGTGAGGGAAATGAATTTCAGCTCTCAACCAAAGACACTTTGATATCGAGAAGAGTTATGTGCCTAGTGGGATCATTCGTAGTTAATAATATACTGAAGCGGCTGCATCATGTTGAAATTGTTAAGGAAGCGATGGAATACAAGCTTGAACGCTTGAACACAACTTTAATCCGCTCAATTTACAATACACCGATTTACAAACAGGTTGATGTACAAATTTACGAGCGACTAGTAAGGAAATCACGTGACATTTTATCTACATAATTTATTCTACTCGCACAGGTCAAGTCTCACGGGACTTTTAATGACCGGAGTACGAGTACGACGATGGGCCGTAACATTCTCCTCGCCTTGTCCTCCTTCGGGGAGGACAACTCTCTTCTTAGGCTTACGATTAGGTACACTTTTAACATTAACAGAGTTCGCTCGCAGCTTCTCTCCACCATCAACAGGAACATCAGCTTCACGGGTAACTTGTGGGGCTACTGCATCAATTTCCAATTTGTGTAAGCGTTGAACAGGCCTGTTGAATACACCTTTCTGTGCCATTGGCCACTTGTTGCGCGATACATTATCATCAGAGACTAATACGATATCACCTTCTCGAATGGAGGGGTTTCCCTCTTGCCATTTACTTCTCATGGACAGCAGGTGCAGATATTCTCGTTACCAACGTTTCCAATAGTGGTTAAGTAGTCTCTGTAGGTAAACATACCTTTCCACAGTTCTTTTACTAGACTCCTCCAAGCTTTCTTCTTTACTCTCAGGTAACTGGTTAATTGGTCTACCAATTGCAAGATGAGCAGGTGTAACCGGCAAAGGGTCTCTGCAATCGTCGCTCACTGCCGTTAATGGTCGCGAGTTGATGATGCCTTCAATTCGAATTAATAATGTGTTCAACTCAGAAAAGGTGAGAAGTGCCTTTCCAAGCACTTTACGCAATGATTCTTTGATTGCTCTGAAAAATCGTTCCCACCATCCGACTCGCCATGGTGAACGTTCGGTAATGAATTTCCACGTAATCCCTTTCGACGAGAGCTCAGAATTAATTCGATTTCGATCCAATGTATCCCACACAGTTCGACTTTGATCTTGTGTAGGTCTAGTACCATCTTTGCGACTTCGGGATCTCCGTGAGGCAATATTACTTGATGCTTGGTCTGTTCAAGTAGATCAGCAAACTGCAGTCGGCCACCAACTCTTACAAAATGATCCTCTCTGTCATAATACGGGTCTAGTTTGAGAAGGCGACTGTTCTTGGGAAGTGTTTGTCCGGACTTCAGCAACTGGTAATCTTCTTTATAGACTTCTTCGTGTACCCACTTACAACACTTAATCTCTGCCTTCTTCACTTCTTCTGCCGACAGTTCGCTTTCAGAAGACTTACATTTAGTCTTGAACAACTTGACTGCTCTCAGTACATAAGCGGTTACTCGAATCAACTTTAACCACGTCCCGTAGCGCGACATATCAATTGACGGCTCTCTAACGACTGCTGTACAACCATGAGCAATTTTCCTTTCCTCTTCGCATACTTCAGAGGGAACAGTTCCACCTTGGGGCTGAACGGGTAAATGTTTGTCACTCGAAGACAGCCACCGAGGTCCATTCCACCGTAAGGTACTGGCAATCATATCACCACAGCTCAACCTACGCGTCAACAAATCTGCAGGATTTTCCCTACTAGTACAGTACCTACAACACTCAGGATCCCACGTGGACTGTATTTCTGCCACTCGATTCGCCACGAATGGTTTCCAACGAGAACTCTGACCTTTTACCCAATGCAGTGCCACCATACTATCAGTCCAACACTCAACACTACTCACTTCCATAGGCAAAGTGTCTACAACAAACTTCAACAACCTGGCATTTACAACTGCTGCTAAAAAGTTACAGTCTGGGCAGTGACACTGTCTTGATAGGTGCAACTCGGGACTTTGATATTACCAGCTGCGAGGATACATGACCTTGCTTGTCTGCTATTCTGATGTACACTGCTGCTCCGTTCGCTTTAGGAGAGGCATCTCCAAAACCATGTAGCTCTATCTTAGACTCTTGCGTGATGCATTTCCGAAGCATCGGGGTATGGACATACCTATCAGCTGCAACAACTCTGACTTCCAATGTAGCCACTTTACTTTAACTTCACTGTCCAAAGGGTCATCCCACAATAATCCTTTCAACCACAGTTCTTGGAAGAGCATTTTGGCTCTGACAGTGAAAGCAGATATCAACCCTAAAGGGTCAAACATTTTCCATGCTAGACTAAGCAGGCTTCTCTTTGTCATTGGATCAGGAGATAAGAAAATTCCACCCGGTGCAACAAATCGGAAGTGATCAGAGGTCAAATCCCGTGAGACTCCAAGCGCCTTAAGGGGTTCACTCGAGCTCAAACTCCACCAGTTACGATGAGGCTCTTTTGGCTGGGGCAATAGCATCCATTAAGAGCTCTGAGTTACTTGCTCACTTTGTCAAGTAAAACGCCGCTTTCATCATGATCTCTGACATGTCTTGTTGAAGTTTCACAGTCGAGTCCACCGTATCGGCTCCTGTTAGGACGTTATCCACACACATGTTTTGTAGAATTTCTTGGACTGCATTTCGGAACAGTTCTGCGTAGTTTTTGGCACGAGCATTGACCGTCGAAATAGCAAGGAATGGACTCGAGTTCACACCAAATGTCAGTCTTTGCATTCTATAAGCTTTGCGCGTTTCGTTAAACTGTAAATCTCTCCACAGGTACCGGTGAACGTCTCGATCCTCTGGCGCTAGCTTGACCTGAGGAAACATCTTTTCAATATCTTCTATGAGACCAATTATGTTTGTTCGAAATCGAATGAGTACAGATGCAAGGTTGGGCTGTAAAGCAGGACCGGGAAGGACACAATCGTTGAGGGAAACACCATCTCCTTCTTGCGCGGAAGCATCAAACACGATTCTGCACGTAGTCGTCGTTTTGTCATCACGGAACACAGCATGATGCGGAAGGTAGCGTACAGTTCTATCTTCATCATTCTCATCAGGCACTACCTCTACAAATCCTTTCTCTACATATTCATTGATTGCAGAATTGTAAGCTTTAGCTGTCACAGGGGCATGTCTTAACCTTCTTTCGATGCTTTCCAGACGTCTAACAGCTTGCATGTAGGTACTTTCCAGTTTAGGAGGGTCACGTTTCCACGGTAGTCGTACTTCATAGTTGTTCCCGTCAAATTCAATCCTTTATTGAAGTCAGCAACAGCAACTTCCTCCTCCCGGGAAATAAAAGTGTTTTCAGTCTCAGCGATGCCAATAGATTCCAGTTCCCAGAATCTTTTCAAGCTTTCAGTGAGTCCACTGTTTTCTATAACGGTAAGCATGGACGTGGTATACCTTGAATAGCGGTTTACTTGTCCAGTAAGAATCCACCCGAGATGAGATTCAACAGCAACAAGTGACACAGATGAACTACCTTTCTTGTACAACCCAGTTACGAACGAGTAGTAAAAGTCGGCACCAATAAGGACATCTACTTGGACGGAATCGCGAGGGTAGGAATCTGCGAGAGTTAAACCTTGAAGATAAGAGTTCGTACGAAAGTCTAACTGCACTGGCCCGAGGGGGTTACAAATCTTGGGAATAGCAAAGGCCTCCATCTCCACTTGGAATCTCCTTTCATTGGCGAAAGTGCTAATTTAACTCTCTGCAATCTCTTGGTTTCACTAGTTGTTCCACCGAGCATTGTAACACTTAATAGGGACTTTAAGATCCGAGACGCGAGGGCTGTAAGACGCGACAGGAAGTAAAATTTCAAAGAGGAGACATGTTGCGCATGCTCAAGCCGTCGTCCTGGTGTCACCACTTCACCACGTCGCGTCGAGAATGTGGGTTTTGCGAGTTTGACGTTCTGTACAAAACGTGAGTATATTTGTTCCTGTGCTCAAATTAAATGATGATATATTCCTCTAAACATGTAAAATCAGCCTTCTAGGATCATTGGAAGTAATTTCTGGCGACATTTTAGATCACAGAGATGGAAGGATTTTGATTTTTCAGGTGTACGAAGCTTACAAAATCGCAGCGCCTTCGCCTTCGACTTCGAGCAAGGCTTGCAAGTAAGTCACGAGCTATCTAAAACTGCAAATAGTGAATGCAGGAGTCTTCTGCATACTCTTCTCGTCTCTTGTACCGTTGCAATTCTCGATTTATTGCGTTCATCTGCCGCTAAAAGCCAATTTTAAGCCTGTATTATTTAATTTTATTTTATTAAACTGCGTGTGTTTTTATGCTTCCCTTTAGTTCAGTAATGTTTTGGACACATGATCATGAAGCCATTCTATGCCGAGAAGTCGTCAATGTAAATCCCTACACGACTAAGAAAGGGTCAACACAAAGAAGCAGTACGTGGGAAAAAATAGCAGACACCTTGAACAAATGCACTGTGCCGAAATTCAGGGTTGATAAGCGATCAGTCCGAGACCACGTGGGAATCCTTGTTTACAAGCATAAGAAGAAACTTCTAGCGAAGGAAAAAGCAACTGGGATAACACCCGATGAGCCAACGGAACTACGGAAAACCTATTGAATATGATAATCGCCTTGCAGGAAAGTGGCGAAGCGGAATTACAGGAAACACAGGGAACAGCTAGCAAAAAACGTCAATACGATCGGGCTAAAGCGGAAGATGTTAGACTAAAAGCGATGGAGAAGCTGTCAGAGACGAAGAAAAGAGGTTGATCAGCGGATGAAAGCGATGACAAACCGAAGCGTCAACGAAGAAGTGGAGGTGATGCTATCGAACAAAGCACAAACAAAGCGTTTCTTGGACTTTCCAAGCCATGCCATGGCTATTTCTGCGAAAGAATTGCCGAAAAATCACACTGATAAAGAGCGGTTTGCAGCCGCGTCGTCTTGCATCGCGACGGAGATCTTAACTTTACTTTTCGCGCGCAAACGACGGCGTTCTAGTTCCAGTCCTTTATCAGCCACCGCGTTCTAGAAGTCGTCGCGTCCCAGATCTTAAAGTCCCTAATAACTCTGAGGGACCTTGCAAGCCAAGGGACTCTGCGATGTTCTTGCGCACATATGAACGTTGACTCCCAGAGTCTAGCAAAACACGGACTGTCATTTCTTGACCATTGACAGTTAACCTCGCCAACGCTGTCTGCAGTAGTGTTTCCTTCAAGGGCAATGCAAGTTTAGCTGAAGCTAACCCACTTAAACTGATGTTGGAAGGCTGCTGGGGTGTAGCCACTAACTGCTGACCATGTAACAATTTGTGATGACGCCGGCCACAATAGCGCTTTCTACTAATGACATCACAATTTTCTGGTCCCTGCTGTGACTCAGACATTAGACCTGACCCGTGTGAGAGTTTAGTATGGGAAAGTCACGTTCGGCAACAACTTTTCGTCGTCCTTGAGGATGTTTATCGTTAAAGGAAACAAAATCCAGCTTGGTTTCGATAATAAATATCCCGAAAATAATCAACGCGTGCGAAGACAGCGTTAAACGTGGAAAAAACTGTACAGATGAGTGGTTTTATGACCTGACCAGTGTAAGAGTTTAGTATGGGAAAGTCACGTTCGGCAACAACTTTTCGTCGTCCTTGAGGATGTTTATCGTTAAAGGAAACAAAATCCAGCTTGGTTTCGATAATAAATATCCCGAAAATAATCAACGCGTGCGAAGACAGCGTTAAACGTGGAAAAAACTGTACAGATGAGTGGTTTTATTTCTTATGCGGCGTCTTAATGGTGTGGGTAAAATTATGTTAAAATGTGTGGAGAGCAGAGCTTCATAGCTGTGCGTGAAACAGTGCATTTGGTTAAATTTATAGGCAAAGGTTGCTCAATTTTTTTTCGAGTGCTTATGTTACGCTACTTAGTACTACAGGATATAAAGTACTAAAGTATTTGTCCCGGATTCATACGGTCTACCTTATACAATTTCCGGTTTGTGCTAATGTTGGTGTGCTTTTCACCTTAGATATTCTGTCACAGGCTTGCGAGAAGCACATCCAACCTCGATTTTCTCTTTAGCAATTTCGGTTTTGGAGTATTACACAGCCAATAATGTTATGTCATGTTTCAGTGCATAGCGGTGCTTTCTGCCTAAGACACAGAGCTAGGGATCCGATTTCAGTAGCCTTCTTTGATCGAGTCGCTTTATTTTCCGATTTTAACCATTTATTTTAGTTAGTGGACCAGGTTTTGCTCCCAATAGCAGTAGTACCTTTTATATATTGAAATTATGCTCAAAAAACATTTCAAAAACGCTCACTGCGAATTTTGTGAACAATTTTCAAGTCGGAAACGTATGTTTCCCGTACAAAGCCTTGGAGTAGAATGCAAAGTTTGTCTGAGTCACGCGGGGGGTCTAAGGTGACAAAACCTATTTTTAGTAATAGCAGAAAGCGCTATTTGCCACAGAACACTTAGGCTGGCGACAAATCTTGGAAAGGTGCTCGTGGTTGCTGGGCTTTAAACAATTGAAACGCAGTTTATTCTCTTGAACTAGCTTCCACCTGTCATGTAGTGACTTGTCATTAAAAACTGGGCAATTTTGCGACTCGTGACCTGCCTTACAGAAATTGCAACTTGGACCAGTAAGTTCGCGTGCCTCACCAAGTAATGCAGAGGCTGTATACGCTCCACCCTCACTACCCATTCGAGGAAATGAAGGCTTTCTCCTGTTATCTCTACTCATATCAGAACTGCGATTGCTCTGGGTATTGTTCACATTACAACCTCTCTCCCCCGCTTCTTTGGATACAACTTGGCGGTTCAGAAATTTTAAAAACAACTCAAGATCTTTTTTATCCTGTTGCGTGTCTGCAAGCTCTAACTCCTATTTTTCTAGTAACTGAGGTGGCAACTTGGTCTCAAAGATGGGTAACAAAATACAACCATGACTCGTTGGATCTTCACCAAGCGCTTCTAAGGCTCTGGTTTTATTCATAAATGTGTCATAAAGATCTCTAAGGGCGGATGCGCTGACCGCCGACTTAGCATCCATCTGAATGACGGATTTCACAAGGGATGAGATTATCATACGTTTTCTTCTGTACCTGTGTTGGAGGCAATGGACCGCTGCTTGATAATTTGCTCCAGTTACTTCAAGTCCTTCTATTGTTTGCAAAGCATTACCAGTAAGCACTGAGCGTGGGTAAGTAAACTTCGGTACCTTGGGTAAGTCACCATTGTTATGCACTGCGGCTTCAAACTGGTCCCAGAAGTTTTGAAATTTTAACACATCCCCATTAAACTTTGGCAGTTCAATCCTGGGCAATTTAAGACGTGAAGATTGACGACTGTCAGTATGTGTATTTTCTTGTGAAGATTGATGATCTTCCACTTTGCCACCCTTTTGGAGGTATTCATGAGCAACATCGATAGCTTTATCTACCACACGTCAAAGATCTCCCCATCTGCGAAGTTCTTCTTCTATCATATCCTCTGCGATCAGCGCGACTATTTTATTTCTCAGCTGAATATATTTCTCTCTATGCACGGTAAGTCTTTCATTTCTCAGCTTTACTTTCACTTTGTTACTTGCACTTTGACTAACCTCCGAAATTTCCCGAATCAACCCGTCCATCTATTTGCAAGGCTTTGGCTTTGCGTCTGATCGAGTTAATCTCTTGAATTTCTACTTCACTCGAAGACTCAGCTGACTCAGCAAGATTCATTTCTTCCTTCGACTCTGGTTTGACAACATCTGACTTTGAATCGTCTACCAAGCTTTCAATCAAGACCTTCTTTTTTCCAGTAGTTGGTAATCCTTTTTTTGAAGCAGCTTTCGCAGCTGATCGACTGTAAGTTGCGATTAATCATCATTTTCGGTCTTTGGACTGGCGGCCATCTTATCGCCCACGTGGTGATGACCTTGCGAAGAATTACAAATTTACTGTTCAAATGTCACCTTGTATGCGGCTGTGAAGGACCATGTTAAGGAAGCGATGGAATACAAACTTGAACGCTTGAAGACAACTTTAATCCACTCGATTTACAATACACCGATTTACAACAGGTTGATGTACTGCCCGGGAACCCGACTTACAAACATAGGCACGTTAAACGTGCATGAGCTACTTTGAATGCTTTAGTGTAACTTTAATGCTTCAGTGTAACCTTACCAAGAGTGTTGAATCTACCTTTTTCGTCCTAAATGTAGACTGGGTTTTTGAGCGAAATTGGGTATTGCGCTACATAAATGAAAACGAGAAACGCTCAGCTGCGTCGATCCTCATGCTATATATTCACTTTCCTCTGTCTTTCCCTGTTACATTTGGTGCATTAAACAAATTGTTAAAGTAAAATAAATATCCACTCACCAAACGTTGATTGAAAGGAAAACTCTAAGGTTTCCTGGGAGTTTCTTAAGCCAAAATGTGACTCATCGAATTCGAGAAGTTAAGAAATACCAGGATTTTTATCATTGTGGTAGATGGTTGCATCATCACAATTCACGAGGTTTTCACGTGCGATTCTACTCAGTGAAACAGTCTTTAACTCCGACAACTTATTTCTTCATGTTTTAAGAGCTATTGCTTCTTAAAAGACAGGAGCCTTTTTAAGGCTTTGGCTACAAAACGAAACAGGTCTTCATACGTTCAAGTTACTATTATTATTAATTATGAAAAGCCAATATGCATGAGATGTACAGTCATACAACTGACACGTGAAAGTGTTGGATTTTGCCCCCTTTCGTGGTTCGTACGTGAGTAGACTGTTCACAGTCCTCTATTTTTCCGTAAGATCATCGAGATCGAGAGCTTTGCGTTACGGGCTACCCATCTTGCATGAGTGTCAAAACTACCTAGGGGGCAGGGGCGGTTTGGGAGGAAGTAATAACATCACTGCAGCACACGTTCAGGAGGCGTGACAGGAATTTCACGCCTTTTACCATTCATTAATTAAGAAACTCCGCTGGTGATGAAAAACATGCCAAACACATTTAGCATCGATTACGCGTGTTTACAGATATCTCCTTTCGAAACAGTGATTTTATAATGTTTCTGGGCCATTCCTCGAAATAAAATCGGCAAACATGCAGAAGAAAACATTTTCCTAATCAAAAATACCAAAAATCCTTCGTGTGTTTGCGCAAGATGTGCCTTATGGTATGAAAGCGTACGTTTAATGGAAACGTCGACTTGTCAACGACTTGTCAATGTCGGCAACTTAAACTAAACCCGTTGTCAACGCAAATTAACATGTATTGTCTAATGACCAATCAAACGCCTGCGTTGCTGGTACAACGCGCTCCTTGAACGAGAGCTGCAGTGATGTTATTACAGTCCCTCTATTTTTCTCGCCCCCGCCCCCTCCGAGCTATAATCCCCGACGCCCGCCCACTCGGTAGATTTGAAAATCAAGATAGCCGTGACGGTAAGACGCGGTATATCTAAACGATCTCACGAAAAAATAGGGGACTGTGAACAGTCTAGTACGTGAGGGAATTCGAGTTATCACACAGTAATCTAGCAAACAGAATTATAAAAATAACTCACGCACACAATTTGCAAGTGAAGATGTTGGTCTTTGGCCC